ATTTGATTAAACAAAACCTTTGGCCTCTCAGAGAACGTCACTGTTTCCAGTGTATCCCTTCCCTTTAAATCTGCCTGCAATGCAGGAGACCCCAGTTTAATTGCCGGGTCAGAAAGATCTACTGGAGAAGGGATAGGCTACCCACTCCAGTACTCTTGGGCTTTCCTGCTGGCTCAGCTGGTGAAGAACCTGCCTGCAATGAGGGAGACCTGGGTTCGATCCCTGAATTGGGAAGATCCCCTGGAGAAGGGAAAGGCTACCCACTCCAGTATTCTGGCCTGGAGAATTCCATGGACTATATAGCCCATGGGGTCACTAAGAGTTGGACACGACTGAACGACTTTCATTTTCACTTCACCTTCCCTTTAAGGATCTTCTCTTACTGGCCTCTGGGTTTGTCACATCTGCCTGCTTTATGCAAGGTAGAAGGGTGCAGGTACCTCTCCTCATTACCCCGAAAGCAGGGTTTAGGCAAAGGATGGCCTGAGGGCTAGCTGCTTGTTTCCGTTGTTTTAAACTTCACTTTAAAATACTGTAAGGGTGTAAAATAGCTTATAAATAAAGATTTATTGGAATAAAGCCACACTGAAACAATTATAAATTTGTTTACAATTATGCCTGCTTTCCTTCTATAGTGGTAGGCTTGTGAAGTTTCAACAGAGACCAATCATAAGGCCTGCAAACCTAAAGTATTTACTCTTTGGCCCTTTGAGGAAAAGTTTGCCAATGCCTGCTAAAAAGAGGAACAGTATACAAGCAGGAGTCAAATGGACTTGACTGTGCCAGTGACTCACTGTGTGTCCTTGGGCAAACTCCTTAGCCCCTCTGAGATATCATCTCCACATTTGTGACACAGAAACCATGCTGACCTCATAGGATTGTTATGGGGTCACAGGAGTTTCCACACATGGGTGCTCATTTAATGGAGGAATCATTATTGTAAGCATCCACTTTGGGGTATGTTTTTATATAAACAAATAGGAGCTATGCTACTTCCTAGTCTGGCCTTCCTTTCTTTTATGTAACATTTCTTTTTTCTTGTCTAATTGCATGCGCTACAACTGCGAAAACAATAGCTCTCAACCTGGTCGCCTGATCAGACCCTGCCCTTCATCCTGGGTAAAGGACAGAATGGTACCACTTGGCAGTGATCAGGCACCAAGACCCAGAGCCTTCCATGATGTGGGCTCTCATCTAAATGCCAAGGTGGTATTATCTATCACCCCTTTAAGAGAGAGTACATGCATAGTAAGTCACTTCAGTCATGTATGATTCTTTGCACCCCTATAGACTGTAGCCCTCCAGGCTCCTCTGTCTGGGAGGATTCTCTAGGCAAGAATACTGGAGTGGGTTGCCATGCCCTCATCCAGGGGATCTTCCCCACCCAGGGATTGAACCTGAGTCTCTTACATCTCCTGCATTGGCAGCCAGGTTCTTTACCACTAGTGCTACCTGGGAAGCTCTTAAGGGGGAGTGAATTAAAGTAAACTGTACCCTTTTAAACAAAAATTATGAAATACCAAGTAGTCTTTGCTTAGAGCCCTTGGGGTCTCCAGAGCAACCAATTCTTGAATTTAATAGAAGACAGTAGTTTTCAGCTAGGGGTGATTCTGCCCACCAGAGGACCTTGGCACTATCTGCAGGCATTTTTGATTGTCACAATCATCACTAGACCATCGAGCTAGTGGCGTCTAATGGGAAGAGGTCAGGGATGATCCTAAACACCCTACAGTGCCCAAGAAAGCCACTCACAGGAAAGAATTACCTGACCCAAAATATCAGTAGTTCAGGGATTGAGACACTGCTTTAAAACAATGTGAAAACAACAGTATTGGTGGCAGGAGTCCATGTGTTGTTGTAGATGCTAGTGGGATTTTTCAAGAAGGGAAATCAATATTTTGTGAGTGGGTGTGGTTCCCGCCCCTCACCCTCATCCCCACCAAAGCATTGGCTCACCCATAGGAATGCCCAATGAGCACATTGCGCTTCTTGGCATAGCGCTTGAAGATGGCACGCATGTCCTCCGCCAGCGCATAGAAGGTGTAGGCGGCGGCCACTTGGGGCGCTGAACTGGCCCCGTGGCCGGCCAGGTCGGGCGCCACCACCTCGTAACCCAGGCGCACGAAGAAGTCCAGCTGCTCCTTCCAGATGGCCAGGGAGCCGCCGACCCCGTGAATGAAAAAGAGCACCACGTCAGCCTGGGCGCCCTTGCAGCTGGTGATGCGCTTCTCACAGTCAATGTGGATGGTCCGCTTGGGGCGGCGGGCTCGCCGCCGCCGCCCACCACTGCCGCTCCCAGCACTGCCTGGGACCGAGCGGCCATCGCTGCCCGCTGGGTCCGCCAGCTCGACCTCAAGGGCAGCTGGTGGCTCCCCGGAGCCATTCTGCCCGTGCAGGAGGTCAGCTCGTGGTGCCCGGCCCAGGTTCTCCACCAGTAACCGCCCGTTGCGGTACACGGTGATTCTGCGCTGGCAACGGACCAAGCCGGACTGGTCCCCCTGGGCGGCGTCCGACAGTGGTGGAGGTGGAGTCGGGGCGGGAGCGGGTCCCGCATGCTTTACCCGCAGCACGCGGCCAGGTTTGACCTCCACAAATGTGTAGCCATCGCTGGACTCCACGCTCTCCAGTGGCCCTACTGCATTGGGTGGTGCGCCCAGCAGGCAGCAAAAGATCCCATCGGTCACGCCGGTCAGCATGGTGTGTCCTGTGAGTGGGGGTGACAGCCAGGTCAGAGGCTGTCTGCATAGGAAGCCCTTCATGCCCACACTACCCACTCTCTATACCTGGGGTGGGTGAGCTGCACTGGGAGGCCCTGTCTAGGCCCCAGTTTAGGGGTGGTCAGAACCAGGCACGGACTGAGATGTTTTGTCTGGTCAGAGCCTGTGTGGTGGTTAGCCAGCCTAGGCTACCTCAAAGAGAAGGCTGTGGCTATGGCTGACACCAAGAGGCATCCATGGGGAAGGTGGTGGAATTGGGGGTTGCGGGGCTTCCTGGAGGAGGGGACTTTGTGGCAAATGTGACCCATCCCTGAGGACCCTCCAGCTCAGGTTTATAACTTATGCCTTCCTAAATCCATTCATTCGTCCATTCATTCACTCATGCACTCTTTTGTTAACTCACTTTCACTAAACCAGCATAAACTGAGGGCTCCACAGATGTCTTAAAAATATGCAGATCCCAACAATGAGCCCCCATCCCAGGCCTCTAAACGTGGTTTCTGAAAGTTGAGGCCCTGGGAGAGGAGTTTCAGGACTGAGCTCCAGAAGGCCTTACCCAGCTCCCCAAGATCATGGATGCAATGGGTCTGTTTCACAGACCAACAAGCTGAGGCCCAGACACTCTGGGAGGAAGCAGCTCTGTCCCCACTCGTCAGAACCCTGGGTTCTAAGGAACCTGATACACAGCCTCCAGTGGTGGAGATGAGGATGGAGCCCTGGCTGGGGGCCTCCAGGCCTCCATCCCCGCTCCCTGGGCCACCCCCACCCCCGCCGTGGCCATGGCAACTGCAGACAGTTACATAACTCGAAGGGGATACCCGTGCAGCGCACCCCCATTGTTTAGGCCCTGGTGATGGGACCAACCCCTCCCCGTCCCCATCCTGGGCTCCTCGGGGATAATGAACGCCGAAAATCCAGCCTGCGGTAGCCCATACTTGCTGGTGGAGGGGGAGCAGGCCGCGCCCCCCGCCTCCGGCCGGGTTCCAACCCGGGATTGCGGAGGGGGGCGCAAATGCGCCATGCCAGCCCCCCTCCACAGAGCCAGGCCCTCAGCTCCTGGGTGCCCGTGAGCCCTGTGGCGGGATCGAGGCCATTGGGGCACCGCGGCTTTCTAAGAGCCCGAGGGCGGGCTTTGTGGACACCCCGTCCAAAGTGAAAGATCCAGGGATCCAGGGGCCTCAATGTCCCTTTCCCCACGGCCCTCTCTCTGCTCACCTCATCGAGGGCCCTGGGACCCGGGGCAGGGCAGAGGGGTCCCGGGCAGAGAAGCCAGCGTCCGCCTGCAGGCGCCGTTTACATGGTGGCGCGGGATCTGGCCGGGCACCTCTAAGCGGGGGGCCACGGGCCCGGGGCGGTCAGCGCGGGGACATCCCGCTACCTCCGAGCAAGCCGGCCCTTTAAGCGTCTCCCCGGGCGGGACCGCGAGTCGACTGACTGGCTTCTCGGCCAATCGCAGCTGCGTAGTGACCTGGCCTAGTTAGACTGCCAATCAGACTCGGAAACTCCGGGATTAGGGCGGGCTCTTGGGGCAACGGCCCCGCCCCCCTCAGGGGTTTACTGAGGTGGAAGGAGAGATTGGGCCTGGTCCAAGGCCGAGAAGGGGTCGGAACCTGAGGACTTATGGGCCCCTGGGAGGTAGCAACCGGAGCCCTCCTCGCTGCGAAGAGGATTTCCTCGGCTAGCCTCAGCCTCCGTACTGGCCTGTCTCCTCTAAACGTCGCCCCAATGCCCCTTTCTCTGAGCTCACCTTTCCTTTCTACAATCTCGCAGATCTTTGCAATTTGCAAAGGAAATTGCAAACGGCGAGGAAACAGGCTCATAAAAGGCACAAGGTCACAAAGTAAGCTGGGGGAGCAGAGATGGGACTTGGAACTACGGCTGTGTGACCCCAAGTCCTGCAAATAGTTATTCTTTAAAGCATTAAACAGGTATCTTGGAGCTATTAGGAATTAGTTTCACAGATAGGCCATTTTAACTGCTGGTCAATTTAACTGGTGACTCTGGTCCCAGCTGGAGCCAGAGAGCCCACAGTTCAAATCCAGCTTCTGCCGTTTGCTGATATATGACCTTGGGCAAGTCCCTTCCCTGAGACTCCATTTATTTCTTTATTAAATTAATTCCCTCTCCCGCATGAGTTTGCTAGGCAGTAAAACACTTAGCGAGGAAAGTGCTCCATACATTATTGACATTATTATTGTACTACTGTCGTATTGTATTGGTTTGCTAAATGATGGTGCAGGTAGGATGGGCTTCAGATGACAAGGGGTTAACCATCCTTTGCCCACTCCTATCCCCTGGAATTTGCTGCCAGAGCTGAATTAGGTCCAGCCACCCACTCTTGTCCACTCAGGGTGCTCCTGGGAGACTACAGTTTTATCCATGCAGAAAAAAAATTCCCCGCCCCCTCCCCAAAGTGGGTGATGCTGCGGAGCGGGGCGGAGCGTTGACCAGAGGGAGGGACTAGAGTCGGGGAAAGGAGAGTATCTGAAGAGGATTTTTAAGAGATGAACAGGAGAGCACCAAGCAAAGGAGGGAAGGTGTGTGTGTATGTCGAAGGCAGGCTTCAAATGCCTGCCAAATATTTTCCCTGGGGCAATGGGGCGCCATAGAGGGTACGTAAAAAGGGAAAGAGCTCAGGTACGAGAATTAGAAAAATAGAGACTGAACGGGGGCACCACCAAGGGCAAGCCTGCAATCCTGGAGTTCTGCAGATTGAGAAATTGAATGACCACCCCAAGGACATCCAGCCAACTCCAACTCAGACTTCCTGGGCTCCCCGCCAAGGGGTGGAGACTTGGCTGAGGCTAAAAGAAAGCTGCCAGCCAGCTGTGCGCCATCTGCCTTGCTCCCGCTGGGGGTGGGAGACTGAACCAGCCTTTTCCTGAGGCTGCCACCAGCTGCGCCACCGTCGCCCCCGGGCACCCTCTGCAGGGCTACAAGAGAAGGAACTACAATTCCCAGCAGACCTAGGGAAATAATACTTTTTTAGGCATGCGCATGCGGAGAAGGCGCCGTTCGCCTACCGCCTGCTGGTCGAGAATAAGAACTACACTCTCGGGCGGGCACGGACGCTCACGCCAGAGGTGCGGCGCGTCTACGTAGAACTACAATGCCCAAGGAAATGTGGGCTCCGCTGTAGAAGAAACTACATTTCCCAGAATCCCTCGTTCCGCAGCTGCGGAGCCTATAGGTTGCGGAATAGCTGGAAACTGACGGCGTGCTGCGGCCGAACATGGCTTTCTCGGTCAGATCCGTGGGTTGCCTGTTGGGCCCAGTCAGTAGGTCAGCGGGGCTGCTGGGTGGCAGGTGAGTCTTCATGGGGACAGCTTCTCAAATCTGGGAGTAAGAGCGGCGTCGAGGGCTGCCTCCAGGTATTTACCAATCGCATGACCTTCGAGTGCCTTGCGAACTCCTCGAGTACCTTTTCCTGCCAGGCTCCCTCCCGGCATTGATTTGGAAGCCGAAGCTTGGAAAGGTTGAGCTCCACGCAGAAGTCACACAGCGCCCCCTCTGACCTTTATCTCCGTCTCTCTGCTCCCTCAGGTGGCTCCAGGGTCCCCGGGCCTGGCTGGGGCTCCCCGACACCTGGAGACTCCCCGCCATGCAACAGACCAGGGGCAGGACGCGCGGGAACGAGTATCAGCCAAGCAACATCAAGCGCAAGAATAAACATGGTTGGATCCGGCGCTTGAGCACGCCGAATGGCGTCCAGGTCATTCTTCGCCGCATGCACAAGGGTCGGAAATCGTTGAGCCATTAGGAGCGCAACGTAGCGGCTGGATCTCCCCCATTGAAGCATTTCCCTCGCTTAGCCTGACGCTGTTTTTGTGGAGAGCTGGGGAGCGAGTGAACTGAACTGGGGAGCAGGGACTACTGGGACGGACATGAATCCTCCTCTAGGTTTCTGGAAGAGGGAATGGGAAGTCAGACCTTGCCAGAGTGCCTTTTTACACTCTTGAATTAGGAAGACTTTGGAGCAAGAGTCCACAGATGGTACAGTGAACGCTTTTGTAACAGTACACAGCTGTATTCACAACTCGTCCTGCCCTCTCCTGTGAGGCAGATCTAAATATTTCAGAATGCACCTCTCTAAAATAAGGTTCCGTTAATACATATTAACAAAACTTTTCACAGCTTAAAAAAAAAATTCCTTTATGTTGTTAAAAGTCTAATAAATGTTCAAATTTTCACTTGTCTTATAAAATGTCATAATTCTCACAAATTCTAGGAAGGCTTGTGAGCGGTGGGAGGGGTTTGAACCCTCCACCTGCCCCTTGGGGATGGGCGCTGTGACTTGGAGCAAGACCTTAGCCCTCTGAGGTTATTTTGGTTCCTGTAAAAAAGGACTTTCCTGGCAGTCCGAGTGGTTAAGATTCTCCACTTTCCCAACTGCACGGAGGCAGGTTCAATCCTGTATGCTGCGTGGCGCGGCCAAAAATAAAAGTAGATTCATCCTTAAAATGATGCTCATTTCTCTTTTGCTGTGTTGTCGGTGGTGGTTTAGATGCTAAGTCGTGTCTGACTCTGCAACCCCGTGGACTATAGCTTGCCAGGCTCCTCTGTCCATGGGATTTTCCAGGCAAGAATACTGGAGTGGGTTGTCATTTTCTTCTCCGTGTTGTTGAAGTAATAATATTCTGTAACTTATTGAGAACTTCCTCAAAAAGTCCTTGTCTCCCGGCTGTCAGGCTGGCGGTGGGGTTTCGTGGGGTTTAATTCATACCCAGGCAATTTGGACCCAGTGAACAGTGGAGTCAGGGCTAGGAGGATGAGCGTGAGGATTGTGGGAGCCCAGAGGAGGTACTGGACTTTGCCTTGGGAAGAAGGCAGTAAGACAAGGCTTCTTCGAGAAGGCGGTCCAAAAGGAGAGACTGGACGACTCAGGATAAAAGGTGGACGAAGCAGGCCGAAGAGGCCCAAAATTTCCGGGCAAGGAGGCGGGACTGGATCTTTTTGGGCTTCTGGGGAGCCACGGGAAGTGTTTCAGAGATAGTCTATTCCGTCAGTTGAAAGATAGTCAAACGACTAGTGTGTGTGTGTGTGGGGGGGGGGGGGGTAGATATGCTGAAACCTAAAGGTTGGAAATGGCAAGCCAGTATTCTCGCCTGGAAAATCCCATGGACGGAGGGACCTGGGGTCGCAAAGAGTTGGACACGACCGAGTGACTTCACTTTCACTTTCAAAGGTCGGAACCCTGGGGAGGAGGATGCGAGTGTTACGGCGGGTGCCCATCCCTCCAGGGCTGCTGCGAGAACCCCAGGAACCACCATACGAAAAGACGTAGCGAATGTTAGAGAGCGGCGGGGCCTCCGTTGTTGCGGACTACAAATCCCAAGGGGCTTTGAGGACCCGGCCTCCACCCATTTCCGATTTCACCGCTCACAGCTTGCAGGTCTCGGGCGGGGTTTTGCTCTCTCAATGTAACTTGACCACGAAGGAGGAGGCGTGGCGACCAATGGGCGCGTGGATTAGCCGGATCTGGCCAATGGCGGTGCGCAAAGACCGCGTAACTTGGAGGCGGAGCCAGAGGGCAGACCAATGACGGGCGGGCGGTCGCACCATCAGTGTAGGCTGCGCAGTGGCTGGAAGTTACTGTGCGGCGGCGGCTAAGAAGGCGGCTGTGGTGGTGGCGGCGGCGGAGGAGGCGGTGGCTGAGGTGGTGACGGAGGAAACAGAAGATGGTGAGAGTGGCCGGCAGGGCCGTATTCCCCCTCCGCTCGACAAAATGGCGCCCCGGGCCCACCCACTTCCAGTAATCCCCGAGGCCCCTCACCGCCCTACCCAGCCCCCCAGGCCTGGCCCCGCCCCTCCATCTGACCTGTGACCTTCGATCCCCCCGGACCCTGCTGTGAGCTTCCTGCTGACCCCACCCTGGCTCCGTCTTCGACCCCTGACCTTTTTTAGGCTTCCCGGCCCTGACAACTCATTCATTTCCGGGTCGCGGGTCCCCCGGAAATCGCCTGTTGGATGGGGATGGGGTCCCCCAGGCCCCCGAACTCAGGCCTAGTACTCCGCGCCCCGGGTCTGGGACTTTTCAGTTCGGGAGGGTTTGGGAGGCCGGGCTGAGCGTCGGGGCGGGGAGGGGGCTTGACATAGCGATATGCGGGTCTTTGTCGCCGAAGGAAGTGCGACATCGCGAACTGCCCTGGTCCCTCAGAGCCCTAACCCCACCTCCGACATTCCGGCCCCGACCAGCTGGAAGAGGGAGCAACTTTATCTCTCCAATCGCCAGGCCCTTTCCATGATAAATAGGGGTAGCAGTAGTCCAGACCTCATCGGGTTGTGATAATTTAGGGAACTGACGTCTTAAAGGGCTTGGGACAGTAAACGCTCAGCAGATAAGCTGGGTGACTCGGAGATGGTGACTTTCTCTCCCAGCTGTCTCCTCATCTTGAAGTGGGGATGATGCCAGCATGTTGTTGGGAGGTTAAAATCCCCCTTGGGCCACTCAGTCATCCTGGGGTTTGTGTCTGGTAGTTCTGTGGGGTTCAGTCTTTTCACCTGTGAAATGGGACCCAACCTTAGAGTTGGGCTGAAGTCCCCTCCATTCCCCCCACTATTTGGCATCCCCAGGGCTGACAGTGGTGATGGAAGCTTTTGTCAGGGCAAATCAAATAGCTCTTCCTAGACTCAGAGTCCCAGCCCACAAGGTGTCCTTAGGATGTCGTGGGGGATGGGCAAAAAAAGACTTATTGTCAGGAAGAGTATGGGAAGGTGGTAAGTTGGTTCCTAGCAGGTGGGTCCCCAGGCCTGGGCATTGTCCTTGATTGCTCGCTGCAACCTCATTGCCTGCGTTCAGCCCCTAAAGAGGATTCTGTTGGCTCAGGCTCCAGAACGATTTCTGGATCTGTCCACGGCTCCCCATCCTGGTCCAGGCACTGCCGTCTCCCACCTGAACGTCTGCTGCAGCCTCCTCCCTGGTCTCCTTGTCTCCATCCTGCCCCACTGGCAGTCTGTAATGCACCAAGAACCAGAGGGCGCTTTTAAAGCTGTCAGTCGGATAATACCACCATCTTGCTTACAAAACATTCTGGGGGCTTCCTGTTGTCACCCCAATGAAACCCACCTCCCCCCTCAGCCTCCAAGGTCCCCCCTGCCTACCTCTGTGACCTCATCTGTACCCACTTCACCCCTCTCCCCGTGAGCTCCAACCACTGTGGCCTTGTTTTCACATCTTCACATTCCAAGTCCCTGCCACCCCAGGGGCTTTGCATCTGTTACTCCTTCTGCCTGGAATGCTCATCCTCCCGGGAATATCATCTGCCAGAGGGCCCCTTCCTGACTGCAGGAGACCCCCATGTCTCTCTTTTCTGCACACCACTTCTTTTCCTCATCTTGCTTTGGTTGGGTCACTGGCAGGCTGCCCGCACAGGGACTGGCACACAGATATTCAGTGAGTGTTTGCTGAAGCAGTGGACAGCTTCTGGGCCCAGCTGTAGCTGGGATTTGTCTGGCTGAGGTGAGGACTTCTCCCTGTGTCTGAGGCTTCATCTTCCTGCTCAGCTAACAGGAAGTACAGGCCATCCCCTGTCTGCATTAATTTATTCAGCACAGACGCACTGCTGCTAATAATACTCAGTTGATGCTTCCACCTCAGGGCAGCTCTGGGTAAAGCTGTTTCTCCATATTGTCTTCCTGGAACTCAGAACAACCCTGGTTCACAGCAGAGATAGCCGGGCTGGGAGTTCACGTGCCCCAGGTCACACAGCCAGGGAGAGGCATTCAGTGCCGGCCTGGGGCTCCGGAGCCTCTCACCGCTCTGCCACCTGGCCCATGTGAGCCCTGTCAGGGGCCCAGGGTTGAGCCAACCCTGCCCTCTGCCTCAGGGAGGGAACAATCCATGAAGGAGCTGGACTTGTAAACAGATGACCTCGCTGGGGTGGGTGTGAGTGTGGGGAGAGGAAAGGGAGGGGGGGTTGAGCTGGCTGGAGAGGTTGGTTGGTGGAGAACGGAGGGGCATCGTTAGAGGGTGGCTGAGGCTGGGGAGAGGTGTGGCAGCAGGCTGGCATGGGCCAAGCCCCGCCAGGGCTGTGGAGGGGGACCCCGTCCTCTCCTTCAGGGCTCAGGCCTGTGTCATGGCCACTTGGCTCTCACCATGCGCTCTTTGGTCCACACCTGTGTCCCCGTGCACCGGCTGTTCCCAGGGGCCGGGGGTAGGACTGCTGTGGCTCTCCGCAGTGCCCTAGTGCCTGGCGTGGGGCCTACCACATGGCTGGGTTCTGAGGAAAGCCTGCCAGATGGATGAAGCAGGTCCCATGGTCTGGAACTGAGCTGGGGCAGGGGTCCTGGGACAGGGGAGGCAGGCGTGAGGGGCTCTGAGCTGACTTCGGGGTAGTAGGTCACTCAGATATGAGGGCCACCTCCTGGGTGGGAACGGGAGGCCATCCTGCTGCCATCTTGCCTAGGCCCAGCAGAGGGAGCGGTTGGTCCCACGAGGGGTGATGGGGGAATCCCACGAGCAGCGGCTTGCCCGAGGGCGCAGCCCCCGGGAGTCAGGCTTGGCAGTGGGGCCCCCAAGGGGAGGGTCACACGGCCTGCAGGCGCTGAGCCTTGGCTTTTAGGCGGGGAGGGGGGCACTGGCGTCCCGGGAACAGGAGGGGCAAACCTGGACTCAGCCAGCTTCCTGTTTCCATCTGGGGCTGGGGGACCTCTGACGAGTGTCCCGTGAGCTTTCTGCCTCAGTTTCCTCGACCACACGAGGGGCGCCCTGGCCGGGGAAGGCCCTGGCCCTCCCCGCTGTCCGCCCCCAGGCCTGATGGCAGTGTTGCCCTCCTGCTCTGCAGGACGCCAGTCGCTGCCCCGGCTCTCAGCAGTCACTCCTCGCCAAGGCTCTTGTGCCTCGGTTTTCTGAGGCGGACACAGCTCCCATTGGCCTTTATTCCTCACGTCTCGTGGCCAGAGACCTGAGCCCCACCCAGAATCAGGGTCTTCCCCTTCCAGAGCACCCAGCTGGTGCCAGCATGCCAGGGAAAAAGGACTTACCACGAGTCAGGGCCATGGATGAATGCCGTTGCTTCTCCCTGGCACCTTGCAGACCTAGAGCTTCCGGCCCCAGGCAGTGGGGTGTGAGGGGGCAGGGGTGGCCAACCTGCTCCCTTTAGGCTTCTGCCCACCCTCCCCCACCCCCCGAGGCATTCTCCCCTCACAAAGAAGCCTTTGGGTGTAGGGACCCCAGAAGCAGCCCCCAAACTGACCCTTGTTCCCACAGTGTTTGACGAAGAGCTCAACCAAGTTTAAAAAGCTAGCACTGACAGACTGAAACTTAGGTTTCTGAGTTTTCACAAGTCTTGGAAGCTTGGTTGACCCTGGGCTCTGTCCGGGTCCTGTGTGCAGGCAGCCCCTGAGTCCCAGCTGCCCTTTCCCCTTCACCCAGGCTCCTGCTCCCCCAACCTCCATGCACTGTCACGGGGCGACTTAGGGCGGACGAGTCTCTCTCCACGCCAGGACTCGTTCAGAGATGC